TTTTTTTTTTTTTTCTATTCCCTTTTTCTTTTCTTTTTTCCCCCTTTCCTTTCCATCCCGCTTTTCCCACCCTGACTCCATCCCTCCCAGGGGTCCCACCACCCTCCCGCTCTCCGGGTGCTGGGTTGGCAGCGCCTGTTGTTGCCAGCTCACGTTGGTGCTGCTGTGGTGTGGAAGCCGTGCGCTCTCTGCCCGGGCCGGGACTGGCAGGAGCCTTTCCCCTGACAAACCCGCGCCGTTCCCAGCGCTGCTGGCCGGCGGAGGGGAGCTGGCTTCTCCTGCGCGGATCCTCTGCCCCACTGCCTGGCCACGGACAGGGCTCTCTGTCCTCTCCCTCACCCTGGCATAGTCTCAGCTCCGATCCAGCGTGGCTCGGATGGGACCGGCCATGGTCCCGCACCGCCCGCCCAAGCCATTCCCGTTGCCATTCCCGTTGCCGTTGCCGTTCCCATCCCACCCGCGCGGCGGGCAGGCTCGCCCGGGCTCGGGAGCTGCGGATGGTGATGTGGATACATTGGAACGTGCGCGGGAGCCGCCCTGCCTCAGCCTTTGCGCATCTCCCCACCGCCACCGCCGCCAGCCCCCGGAGCCCKGCACGGCCGCGGGGACCCCGGCGACCCCTCAGGTGGGCGCTCTTCCCAGCCGGAGCAGGCCCGAGCTGGGGAGCCCAGCGGCTCCAAAATAGCCCTGCCATGGGCATCTCCCACAACATGCTGCTGGCCACAGCCTCGGCCGTGTCTCCCGTCAGGCAGGAGGGTGGCTTTGTGCCCTCCCCAGCTCTGTGTCCCTGCCTGGGGACTTCCTCCTCYTTCCGCAGCTCACCTCTGTCCCCCCTCAGGGACAGGCCGGGAAGTCAAGAGGGAGCTGCCCAGATTAGCAGGGAAGCAGCACCGGAACCACCGCCACGCACGAGGTCTCACCCTGCCCACGGGGAAGCAGGGGGGGTGGGGGGGTCCGGCTGCCAGGGCTCCAAAATAACCCTGGAGCTGAGCACCTGCCAGGGACCTGCACGTGTGTCCCCTGGGAGCTGCTGCCGAGGAGCCGAAAGGATTTCCAAAGCCGTAATGGTTATCCCTGGCTTCTGGGTCTGCCATAGGGGCAGATTTGGGATACTCCTGGCGGGAGAAAATGTAAATTTTATCACTGGTGATGCTTCTACAAACCTCTGGCTYGTGCCTGGCACTGGCAGTGCTCGCTGCCTGGTACCTACAGGATGGGAAGGAGGTGAGGTGGGCCCCAGCTTCCAAGGCAGCYGGGATCAGGGAAGCTGGGCATCCCACCGGGACCTGGTCGGAGACCCTCTTCCCTCTCCCAGGCTCCATGCCAGGGGTACAGAGCTGGTTTTGGGACGGCAGAGGCCATGCACCCGCACTGCCTGACTGAGAGCCCCAGGCATGGACCCCCAAGTGCGCCGTAACCGGTGGCTCATGGTCTGARGGGCATCAGGAGCACCTGACCGAGCCAGCCTGGCACAAACCCCGGTACCGACCAGCGGGCACAGGGGATGGAGCTGGGCCAGAGGCACTGCGGCCACGTGGCATGGTCACAGCCACATCTCCAGGCTGTGRGAATCCGAGGGGATCCCACCTCTCCCCAGCCCCGAGCGGGCTCCACGCCTCGCTCGGCTGCCACCGCTGCTGCAGGCACGTGGCTGGAGCGGGGAGCTGCCTGCTGGGCACATCTCACAGGGCATCCTTTGGCAAACCCCCCTCCCAAAAGCGCTTTTCAGCGCCGGTGCTCGTCCCCTCCACCAGTAGCTCTGGCGAACTGGTTTCCAGCCGGGAGCTCAGATCGGCTGCCAAAGGATGGGAGCAGCAAGCCGGGCATGGCGGGGGAAGAGAGRGAAGGTTGCAACACACTTTCAATTCTCCCATCTGCTGAGTATTGTTTGGGAAAAACAATGAGGCTGTTCTTTAAGTGCAACCTTCGGGAGATCCTCGCTTTCCCCGCGGCGCCCGCCGCGCCGTGCCCGCCTGCCCTGGCCRGCCCTGCCCCGCTGCTCGTGCCTGCTGCTCCTGCCTGATCCCATCTTAAATCCTCACCCGGCAAAAACAAATCCTGTTTTCAGCGAGGTTCCTGAGGCTGGATGGAAGGGCTGGAATGGGCACGCGGGGAGGCTGGTGGGATAAAGCCAGCTGCACGAGGGGCTGCCCGCCGGCGCTCTCTCTACGCCGCTCTCCCCCTCATCACCTTGAACTTGGCTGGGGCCTCGTGCAGTAAATCAGCCGCCCTTTCCCGAGGTACCCGCCGATTCCTCCCCTCCCTGGGCAGCTTTCCCCTGCCCGCAGTTCCCTCCCTGGCCGCGGTTCAGGTCCCTGTGCCCGCCGTTCCCTCCCTGCCGGGGCAGGGAGCGATCCCACCGCCGTGCCCGGCGCTGCGGGTGTGCGCACGCCTTTGCAGATTGCCGAACAAAGCCCAGCTGCTGGGGCCCAGAGCGCTGCCCGGAGCTCTTGGAGCCGTTGGGAATAGCTCCCTTTGGCTCTTTTCTATTCCCCTGAGCCTGGGAGGGCTGGGAATGGATGCTGGGAACCACAGCCTGATCCTGTTTTGACCCGTCGGTTTTTTTCCCGCTTGCGGGAGTGGCTGCGGCGTGGCCGGGGCAGTGCCCGCATGGGAGGTTCGCTGGGCAGAGGAGCCGTGGCATGGGTTAGCCCAGCCCAGCAGCCACGCTGCTCTTATCAAGGCACAGCAAAGAGCGGGGAAGGCGGCTCCCCAAGCGGCCCTGGGCAGCCCTGGAACAGGGAGCTCGAGCCCCGGGCAGAACTGCCATGGTGGCACCGAGGGATCCATCCTGACCCAGGGCTATGCACGGCAGGGAGGGCCTGAACAGGGGTTCGGTACTCACAGGGAAAGGGAGGGACGGTGTCTCGCGCCTTTGGGGGCGGTGGAAGCAGGTCCCTGCAAGGCAGRGCGCTCTGGGAATGGCCCCAGGGTCAAGGACAGCTTGCCCTGCCCGCCCACCAGTCTTCCTTGCCCAATGCTGCCTGCACCAGCCATCCCTGTGCCTGGTCCGTGGACACTTCCTGCAGCCCGAGGGGTGCCCATTGTCCCCACATCACTCCTGTTGTGCCTGCACCTGTTCCAGGCACAAGCCAAGCCCTTGGTGGCCGGACGGGGATGGTGATGGTGATGGGGAACATCCCCAGAGTCCCTCACTGGAGGGGAAGAAGGAGAGCTGTGGAGGAGGTAAAATCCCTCCCTGTGAGGCTGGCATGCTGC